AAACATGCGGTAAAACTTTAAGGGGCTATTCCTTGGATTATTCTAAGGATATTTTGTCCTTTGATGATTTTTGATAGAACGCTTTGTTTCGAAGATACGGAGCGAAAAAGAATTTCGACAACAATGTATTACCAAAAATTACATGTAATGTTTCTTAATCTACAAGAACTGTTGAAAATGACTACACCCCGCTCGGATACAAGAATCCAATCTTCCCCTCATCGAATCCCGAACTCTTTCAAAAACACCAGGATCTTTTCTGATTGCGTTACACCCAGCAATTATACGATTTCTCAAATCTTCCACTGGAGTTGTTGATAGGTAGCAACGGAATTGTTAGATTTTTTATTACTTGGTAGGTCCAGTGTAGTAAGTTATACTTTTATTTCGGCTTCGTTAATAATTTTGAAATTACAAGAATTGTAATTGTCGAAATTCTTTTCCGCCCCGTATCTTCGAAACAAAGCGCCATATCAAAAATCATCAAAGGACAAAATATCCATAGAATAGTCCCTTATTTTTTTGCCGTATGTTTAATAAACATCCTGTATAGTGTTTACCAATATGTTTCCATCGAATTTTCATCTGTTGTTTGTTAAACTAAAAATTTGATTTTTGATATTTATCACTTGAAAAATTATAATTCTTGTCTGTTTACGTTTCAAGGGGAAATTAATGTAGTATCAGTTGTATCTTTACTATTTTACAACTGTCTCTATGGACATGTCGAAGGATTTGTGGTAAAACTTGGTGTTTAGGTCCCAAACAAATCCATTGGATTTATGTGATGATTGTCAGACCAATGATCACTTATGGTGCAATTGCCTGCTGGCCGAAGGCTTTACAGAAAACAGTCCAGGCGAAGCTCTCTGGCTTACAGAGACATGCTTGTCTGGCTATCAGTGGTGACATCAGTTGGTACTGATGGCCGCTGACGGTGTGGTCACCGTCAGCGGCCATGGAGATCCTTCTAGATCTACCTCCTCACCACATTTTTGTGGAGAGAGAGGTTAGATGGACTACATACAGACTTGTGCACATTGTCAATTGCACAAATCAATTTAATGCAGAGTGCAACAGACTGTTGATTGACTCTGGAAGTCACAGCATTCTGGAAATGGCCTCTGACTTCATGCATCCAACTGTCAACTACGAACTCCCTTATAAAGTACTGTTCCCGAGTAGAGAGGACTGGATCCTCCGGGAGAAGGAAATATTGAGAGCAGATAGTTGTTGGTTCACAGATGGATCAAAAACAGCATCCGATTCTGGTGGAGGTGTTTTTATTCGCAGACCCAGGACAGAGATATCTACCTGCCTAGGAACCTATGCGACTGTATTTCAAGCGGAAATTTACGCTATTGAATTGTGTGCAAAGAGATTGTAAGGATCCAACCTCAGACACAAGTCAATAAAAATATTCTCAGACAGTCAAGCGGTGTTGGAAGCTCTTGGCTCCTACCGAGGAACGTCTAAATTGGTAGCAAATTGCCAAAACGACTCTCCACGATAGGAAGGCTTAACAGATTGTCTCTGGTCTGGATTCCTGACCATACTGGCCTGGAAGGCAATGAAGCTGCTTACACCCTTGCAAAGAAGGGTGCTGCAAGCAGCGGACCAGAACCTGTCATTGGCATCGCTTTAGGCTTTGCCATTGAACACCTGGATGGCAAGAAGATTTCTGGACTTATAGCAGAATCATCCAGGATTGGCTCACTCCAAGGCGTTTATTCACTCTTCGAAGCGTGATACCAAATAGTTGTTGGACTACAGTAGGGATGAACTACGATGTCTAACAGGCCTTCTTAAAGGTCACTGTCATTTGAATCATCATATGCAGAGACTCGCATCTGTTTGGAAAATGATGAAACAGTAGAACATATACGTTGTGCCTGCCCCGCTGGGAAACGAATCAGGTTTTTAGAGTTCGGCAGAGCCTTACTCTTACCATATGACCCGAAGGACAACCCACCATACAAACTAATCGGCTTCGTTAAGAAGCTGGGTTTATTTGGTAGAGTGTGAATAGGTGTGAGTCACAATAAACCCTTGAATGTTGCGGTGGAGGGTCGAATAGACCCTCACTTTAGACCTAACCTAACCTATCACAACTTTGAAATTATCAATCAGAATTTTAAAATTGATGGTTACATTGAAATATACAGATGAAATGAACAAAAATTGAAGAAACATTCTTTTAAGTCATCTATTGAGGTTCTAAGTCAGTTGATGGGTAGAGAAATAGAGAAAAAATAATGAAAACATGTTTAAAAGGTATCAAATGACCCTCTATACATTTAGCATAGGTTTGCGGTCTATTTCATCCAAATTTCTATGAACGTTTGAAAATGTTTCTCGTATTTCATAATCACCTGGTTTCCACTGTGTTACTAAGCAAATCGCATACCTACATGTAATGTATTTTGCAAACATAATAATTCGTATAATGGACCATGTTTTTTTAAACGAGATTGTTCATTTTAATGACTCAACTACGTGGCGACTGGATATGAAACAGACAAAACTGTTTCGACAACTCAGAATCTGCTTCTCATCAACTACGGTTGGGGCAATATAAGAATACACATGCGTCATCAACAAAATACGCGCATTTCATTAGTTCGGACTTCCATTGTCTAATATGATATAAATTGATTTGAAATCCCTGAAAGAACCTGTAAAAAATTAAAAAGATTAGCTGAAAAATAACAATTTTATTAAGCAAAAAACTGAAATTACAATGAAATAACATACAAGCAACAATCAAAAAATAAAAAAAAATTGAACTATTAACACGAGCTATTAACAAGAAATGAAAATTAAAAATTGAAAGATTCCAAACTAAGTTTCTTCACGACGTTTCGATTGTTTGTATCCACAATCGAAGACGATTGTGAATACAAATGTTTTATAGTAATTACTTTAATTACTGTAGTAATTACTGTTAGTAAATTCTTTATAAAAAGTTAGCAATATTCAGATCGTTTCGTTTTCATTAGTCTGCCATTTTGTGGAATTACATTTCATGCATAAATTGATGACGTAGGTATGCGCATTAACCCAACATCCCAAGATTTTCAGTGTCCCTATTTCTCGAGTTTGAAGCCGCGATTTTTGGAATTTCTTCCTGACGTTTTGGAGGTTTTTACATCTTGAATTCAATTCCTATAATTGGATATTACGGCTGCGTAAAGCGTATTTATGTTGATTGAGGTAGTTTGGTATGATAATACCTGTACCTGGAGTAGATAAATTGCGTGAAGCGTGTTTATGTTGACTTACGTAGTCTGGTGTGATAATACCTGTACCTGGATTTGGTAAATTGTCAATAACATTCGTCGACCCTTTTCTACCTCTCGTCATGTTGATTTCTATTCTTGAACTTCTTAGAATGGGATTCTATATTCGGTTGAGGTTCAGAGCTTCTTCTTTTCTGTTGAAATTATCACTGTGTTTGTGGATCTCTTTTGTCTCCCATACCAGTCCGCTATGGTATACCTGGTTGGGGGCAATGGATTTCGTGTTTTCAAACAGAATCTTGTGGTTTCTTTCACCGAGTACTTGTTCCGCCACAGCCGACTTGCCTGCTTAGCCTAGTATTCAGTTTCTTTCATGCTCCTTCAACCTCGTTCCCATGGATTTTTTCAACACGCTTTAATTAGCTTCACCTATATGTATGTATGTTTGTTTGTTTGTAACTCCAGAATTATCGACATTATTGCTTGATCTATTCGCGGGCAGATAACGCTGTACGTAACCTTGTTGATATAATTCGAAGTCACTTTACATGTATTTCTTCATTTGAAAAAAGTATATTTTTATTATTATTTTATCACGCCTTTATTAGCTTCACCTGTATGTATGTATGTATGTTTGCTTGTTTGTAACTCTCCTTTTCATTTCATATTTATTCCCGTTTGAAAGCTCGGGATCTGTATTTGACAGAATTATCGACATTATTGCTTGATCTATTCGCGGGCAGAATAATATCAATGGTCATTTTTCTAAATATACGGCTGGTTGATCCCAAAATTTAGATAAAATAAATACAGTTTAAAAAACTAAAAAACACGCTTTTACAGCATACGAAACTAAAAAATGAAAAATAAAATAGTTTATAAAAACTAAAAAACACGCTTTTAAAGAACATCGAACTGAAAAGTTAAAAATATTTTTTTTTCAAATAAGCTTAAAACAATAACGAACGAAAAATACTAGTATTATTGTGAAAAAAGCGTGAGCGCTTTGTGCCATATTTTTTGTATATCAACCGCCCGTCGCTAAACTTTTTAGTTCGATGTTCTTTAAAGCGTGTTTTAGTTTTTTCAAACTATATTTATTTTGTGGTTCCGATATATACCTTCCCATAAGTGCACGGTATGCGATATACCCCAGCTGCTGATAGTGGGTCTCTTTTGCCTTCAGCCGACCTGAGGCTTGGTGAGAACAAAGCCTCACCCTTAAAAAGGATTCATTACATGACGCACGGACTAGCAAGAATAAAAAAATTGAAATATACAGCCGGAAAATGCCTTTTGGTGTCTAGAGGATGTGTAAAGTTTCACAAAGGTTTCTAGGGTGATACTAGCGTTGATATAAAAAATATTTTTCATGAAACTTCAGTAATTCAAAAGGTAAAACATGGACATACACGTTTGTGTTGAGTTTTTTTAAATCGACCCAAAAATAACATTAAATATTATGTTGGATGTTAAAAAACATCCCATTTACTCAACTTTCATATCGATTTTTATATTTACTTACACGATAATTTGAAATTGAATAGATATTTTGTACGTTTGTTATGCGCACCTATTCCCCCCAATAGTAGTCCGTTATGAGAGGGAAAATCTTTCAGCATTGCTTGTTATCTTGTTATCTATTTTATCTGTAGCTACTGTTGCCAATCACTTTGTTAGTGTTCGCTCTCTATTGTATGTTGACTATTATTTTATGTTGAATTTGTTTTGCTTGTGTTATTATTCATTATTTGTTTTCAGTATTATTTTATGAAATAGTGCATGCAACTTCTTACGAATGGGGCTTCTAAAGGATACCAGGGATATGAAGGATAACTCGCAGGTAAGAATATTTTAGATATTATTTTGTAATTTATATTCACGTCTTTTTCAATTTTATGCAGAATTAGAAGTGAAATTATCACACGCCAGCTGTTAGTAAACGAGTGCAATCCCCGCAAATGAGTAAATTCAAACAGATTTTGCATGTAGAATTTCTATACTATACTATATAATCAAACATCATCATGAAACATATTTCAATACGGTGAACGTAGATAAAACTGATTTGAAAACTACTAGTTTTCAGTTTATACGTTGTTTATTCAATCGCTTATAAATATCAGCAACATTATAATCACGTCCAGAAACAGTATGATTTCAGGGTCAACCTTCATACCAGGCGTTAATTATAACGAGCAATACATAATATTTAAAATTATTTTTAGCAGAAGTGACAAAAAATATATCTAGTGTAATTGTTAGTAATAAGATTTTAGGTAATCAGAGAAATGTTCTATTGTACGTCGAAAAAATCAGATTAGGAAGAAGAGTAGTTTGACTGATTTCATCGATAGGTAATGTGGTGCAATTCCCAATTTCTTCTTCCTTATCCGAGCATTTTCAAATACTTTTTCAACATCATTCAACTTAAGCGATGTATTTTTTCGAGCGCCATCCCTTTTACTAGCTCTATCGGATTCAATTTATAACGATAAGGAGGAAGTCGCTATACAGTTATACCCCGCGATGCGACAAGGTCATCGATTACATATTTTTTAAACTTATGTAACGTATGTCATTATCGCGCCAAGTTTTTGTTGACAGTTTCTCTTGTAACCGAAAATGGTAGCTCACATTGTCCAATTACAATAACAGAGTATCCCAAATCCAGCATTTTCCGGAACCCATTCTTCAACGTCAGCAGTTATGTCTTCTTAGTAGATAGTCTCCACGTCGTTAAAAAACGAAAGTTAGGCCACCTTTAACGAATCCTTCATAACTCCCTATATTCGTGATTGAAGGCGACGCCATTTTGCCGAGGGTGCAGTAAAACTATGGAGGCTTTATCCTCCATAAGTAAAACCTTAAAACCTGCTGATCTTCCTGACACTGACTGCGGATTTCTGCATCTTGGTCATTTCGTGTTACATTGAAAACCCCCTCTTTCGAATAAGTCTTTCATCTCGTAACTATTTCGTCATGTGCTCTCAATTTATTTCAACAGTTCCCAGGAATAAAGAAAAATGTCGCTGATCTCCCGCTGCTTATTCCTCCACAGAAGTTACCCCAGATTGTATTTGTGCAAGAGATGAAACCGTATGACGAGTGTCATCCCTCTCGCTTGGTTCGGATTCATCGAAAGACGACACAACGTTGAGAGCCTGCAGTAAAAAAAAATATCACCTGATTTTGTTAAAATTTTCGTGATAAATATCGAGTGATGTGAAAAATGGAGACATTTTTATACTATTGCTCAAGCATAATATGTACTTAGGTATCGAGTAATACTCAGGGAAAATTGGATTACTCAGAATTGAGATCTTACTCCTACACAGTTTTGTCATATAATAGTGAATCACTTATCCAAACTCTTCTGTTTTCTCTGATTAAGAGGAATTTCGTACAAATTCTGTAACATCGATCTCTATTCAAAGGCACAAAATCAAATACTGATTAAGCTGGGCAGACGAGCGCTAAGTACGAATCATATAAAAACGTTTGTAGTTTTTATATCCGAAATTTGTGCTGCACTATCAACTACCAAAGGAAGAAGGAAATGTAAAAAATAATAACTTTCTTCACATCTACTGAAGAAATACACGGGGATATGTTTAAAATGTTATAAACTACTTTTTATCCTTGAGGAAGCTATTGTATAGAGAAACACGTGTCGCGGTTTTTGTAAAACCCTTTATAGTGATAAACTCTGTATATTCAACTGTCCTACTATCCAGTTATTCGTACCTACAAATCAAAATGGAATAAGAATTTGCCTTAGTTATTGGCATCCATTCCAATTATTTCAAGAATGTCACAGTTTTGCTTTAATAAGAATGTCATGCTCGAATATCTTGAATAATGTAAGCCTGTTGGGAGAGATGACCCCATATTAAAGATAATTACAACATATTTACTCAGTATTCCAGTAGTGTTCATTTAACGCTATAATTTTAAAAGAGTAGTAATATTAAAGTTGACGACTGAGTCATATATATGTCGCGAAGAGTTGAGGAAATATTAGAAACTGCAGTTCAAAACATTTCACTTCGACCCGCATTGGATCAATATTAGATTTTCGTATAAAATTCAAGATTACGATTATCTGTTTAAATGAAAGTGATTAGATAACTCCGAACTGATGCCATCTCCTTATATGCAATATGAATTACCTGTTTCAATGCATATTTTAGTTTGGAGCATCCAGCGTTAAATAATTAGTTTAAGTTATTAATATATGTCACGTCACAGTGTTTTGATCAAGTGTAATTTCATATAAATATTCCAAGTGAAATCTAGTGAATGCTACTCTAGTTGATTATGTCGAAGGTAAATTCAGTTGTCTTTGTTTCACGTTAGATATGAACGAGCGCAGAGTAAACTTGATAAAATTCAAAATTGCGACGCTTCTAATAAAGATGATGTCATGAATTGTTTTGATACTATGAAATAAAATTGTTGATGACTTGCGATATAATTTTTCACATCGGGGTTCTTCGAGTGTCTTAATTCATTATACTATTATTCAGCAATTGTTTGTTTTGGTTCATTTATTTTTTTATCAAATTGTACCTCTGCTTGTAACTATAATAATCGTTAATAGTTAAAGTCCATATCCCGTCACATACTATATTATGGATCTGAATCAATTTATTGATTTTATTTTATATCTTGTGAAACCGAAGTAGTCGTTATAATAAATAACTTTGATTCTGCAATATTCCGAAATAAGGAAGATGTCAAAATTTGTGTCAATATTCAACACATGTTCACTGAGCTAAATATTTTCTCCAAATAGATTTTGAATTGTGTGTCCTACGATATTATGTCCGGTTCTTTCATCTTTATTTTACTGAAAACTGATGCATGGATTTTAGTTCCATAAATTATATTTGGTCACCCTAAACCGAAATTTCCTCCAAATCCTCATTAAGATATGAAACTTTTCGTTGTCACTGAAGATGTGCATCGGCATCTGATGTTCAGGCATCTAAATGCGGTCGTTAGTAAAGCAAAATTTTGGATTTCTAATATTTTTCAAAATAATTTACGATAGAAAAATGATTGGAATAGGGCTCCCTGGGGAACTCCAACGTTGGTAAAGGTATTTGATAGAGAACCATCAATGATTACTTGTACCCATAATACATTTTAGGGAAATGGGGAGCCACAAAAAAGACGATTCAAGTTCGATATTCAATTAGTGTCTACACCGTCTTGGAAGTCAAAGTCAGTCTTGGAAATAACAAGCGCAATAACCGAAGGCTATCCTTGTTTCTCAATTGCACCGATCTAGAAGTAGATCGATGCAAGAAGTACCTGATAGTGAAGCAACTGGTCTATTGTCTTCGAGCGGTCTTCCAAGAAGGAATGAACTCTTTTTTGAAAAGCAGATCATAGAATGTACAAAAGAGTTCGTTTGCACATTTCTTAAGTACTACATGGGCAGATACGAGAGACATCTGTGTAGTACCGTTTGTGAACCTCGAGGTGGTCTCGAGGAGCCCACAATCTATCTATTAACAATTTATACGTTAAACTTTGATGTCTGATATTTAATGTAGTCAGAAGAGAAATGTCTAGCCTCATAGTTATTTGAAAGCACAACATTGATTGAATGAATTATCATTTGGAAAAAATCTCTAGGAATTTTTTTTGTTTTTCAAATACATTCAAAATTGTGTCATCAATGACTGTAATCGTTTTTCAAGATACACACACGCCAAATTTGAGATTCCATAACTTTATTGCTTTCGACTTTTTTTCTAAATTATATTGCCTTGCCTTGAACGACTACCTTAAATGAAATCAGAGGAAATACAGGCCTACAGTATTTTCAAGCCTCTTTTCAAATCCACGTATTTCCAATTTCTACAAAAATTGCAATCCAAGTAAAGGCGATCTTCCCTTACGAAGACGAAGGGATCCACAGACGACTCAATTCACGGTTCGTTGACAGCCGAATGAAATTCTTCCTTTGTATTTCTCTGCAGCTTTCACTACAAGACAACTTGTAACCAGAGCCCAGCCTAGCGCAACTGATGAAACCTATGACGGGTCGAAACAAAGTTATCTGGCGTTTCAATATTTTTTCTTACTTACTTCAATAAATACTTTCCTCGGAAATCAGTTGCGTGACTACCTGGCAAGCAGATGTGAGCATGTTTGTTAGGTAATAAATTATATTTGATAAAAAATATGTCCCATCAAGTTATCTGATGGGTGAAGGTCGATCTCCCACTAGTTCTTAGACTATCAGTATTTTACAAAATTTCCTATTATCGAAAGAACATTTCAAGACTGCAGAAATGTCTATACTGATATTCTGAGTAGAGAAAAGAATAAATACCATGAGCAGAGAATAACTAATTCAAAAAATGAAAAAAAACAACTTGACAAATAATTACTAAAATTACTGGGAATAAATGGAAGCAACATATACAGACACCCTATGATGATCAAATTTCCTGATGACAGGAACAGACACATTTGTCTCAGTCAATTAGTTTTCCTGAGTTAACAGGAATCGCCAACGTCTCAAACAGTTAAAAAGCTGATTGTCCACTACTGTTGAATTTTCTGAGAAAATTTTGAACATAACATCTCATTCAAGAATATACATCAGTGATTATTCTTATGTTCCTTTCTTTCAGCTGTGGTTTCGTGGAGTGAGAAGCTCAAAGTTTCGCCACGTATATGGCGAATCGGCAAAAAGGGAAAAATGTTATGATAACATTCAAATCACCAAGAATGCACACGATTCCCAATTCTGCGCTGTCAATCCGAAATTCATAGCCATTGTTACCGAAGTTGCTGGAGGCGGGGCGTTCATCGTAATTCCTATTAATTGTGTAAGTCCATTCATTCTTAAATATAATAAAATATCATTTTATTATTATTACGAATGTTAGAAAAATTATAGCACCTGCAATAGATATTTATAAACGTTTTCAAAGAGAATTGCTGAAAGTTAGTAATATAACATTAAATATAGTAGTGTTTTGCTTGGAATTTTTTTACTTGTTTCTTTTATTATGATCTTTTTTCTGCAACTGCCTCTAACATTTGCGAAAGCAATGTGTCAGTCGCGAGGTAAGATGTATATCGTTCTAACTCATGTTGGAACCCAAGCTATTACGAATGAGTTCTTTAATTGAGCACCAACCTAGCCTGAACAATGCGTCGTTGTTCAAAATATACTTTGAATTTCTTTTTGAACCAGAGTGTTCCTTCTGTGGATGATTTCAGTTTCGGTCCATGTTTGGTCCAAACATTCTAAGATGTTCCCGATTTGCAAATTTCTCTTTACTGGGCGTTCCTTGTGTACTCATCAATTTCTTACATTCATCGATATAGTAGGACTTGCCTCTTTCAGATGATATCCGGTAATACTTAACTGTTGGAATTGTTCTCATTTGGTGACTTGGTTGTTGTGATGCTGCTACGGATGTTGTGCCCGGATCTGAAGAAGGTCCTGATGTAGTTTTTAGACCCAATTCTTATTCGCTCTAATAGTCTTGTGACTCAATGAAGCGATAGCCCTGGTTGTGACGGGTTCTTTTCCTTGCGTGACTCGTAGCTTATATTTTTTCTGCTAACTTTTTGTAGTAACCATTCCGTTGAAGGTTTTCCCTGAACTCACTATTATAGTTTATTGTGACTTTCACTATAATATATTTAATTGCCGCTTTTAGCTCTACAACTTGAAACCATTTTATACTCCAAAAACATAAGCTATCACTTATGCTTCAATTAGATAATGCTGATATAATACTTAATTCACTAGTAAAAATAGGTCAATAAATTAATCATTATTGCATAGTAATTATTCTGAAAGGACTAAGTACGGTCCTCTGGTATGAAATGCAGTTTTGTAAACCTATTTTGATGAAAATCACTCGTATCAGAAAGATTCCTTTCTTATTTCAAAGTCAGAATTCACGATTTTTTGGTGGTAGGATTCAGGTACTATCTCGTGTACTTGTATGTATATTATTGATATTTTACCCATTCTATGTCATGTCACAATGTTGGCTTTACAAATTAGCGTTCTCATATTTTCATAGACAAAGAAAGTTCCGAACCCCTAATATTCACTTGTACTTATACTTCAATAACAACTTGCACTCAAACAGTTATTTGTTAACATCGAATTGCTATCTGACCCGAAATTCATATCATTATGCATTCTATAATTTATATATCTTGTTCAAAGCCGATGGAATAGTCTTCCGCATTCACGATTTTTTTCAGTAGTTTCTAAGACACTATATGTAATGGAGATTTACATCTACAGCTTCAATATCCTTGTAGATTGACCAATTTCCAACAGAGTTTTCTCTCATAATGTTGGGTTTCTGAGAGGATAAAAAATCTCTCTCGAAAATTCCTTGCATTAATAACACCATTTTTTCAATTATAGTCTCTCATCGTCAATTGCGACACCAACATATTAACCAATAATATAATCTGTTATATGTAACACCAGGATATTATATAGGTTAATCTAGTTCTTCTCGTATCAAGAAAAGCCACCTCTATTTTATAGAATCGGTGAATTTTTGTAGTTTGTTTCTTTCATCAAATCTTGGGGCTTCTAGAAACATTAATTTTCCCACGTTTATTTGGCGGAAGTATTCTTTTTTGTTTTCATAGAATAACGCACTCCTCAAAGTCTGGTACTCCACAATTGACATCCAAAGAACTGACTAGACAACTAGACATGCGTCTAAGTGCCCTTTCTCATAATATATGAATCTCCTCAGTTGGTTCATCACTAAAATGTGAAGGATGATGCAGACGAGTACCGTGGTGGTACTAAGAGTTGTCAAATAATTCAATCAAATAATAAAATAGTGGAATTATGTTCGAAAAAACGATTCACTTACACACGATGGCGTAGATGGAATTTAACTGAATTCCGAGTTCAAAATCTGAATTTAACAATAATTCAATATTGAATCGGAATTTGGCGATGATAATTTGGTAAACTCCGACTTCAATTCCGGAATTTTGTTAAAGTTCGAGTTCAAACTCCGAATTTTATCAAAGTCCGACTTTAAACTCGGAATTTAGTTTTTTTTTTCAAAATTAATTGTGACCCTTCGTACTTACATGACCACAAAAAAATGAAACAAAAATTGATCAATTCATCAATATGCAATAATTTTGAGAATAAGTCCACGTCATTCTACAATTTTCATTAATTCGTGCAGGTGTTTTTTTAAATATGACTATATTGATCTGAAAAAGCAATCGCTTGCCTTACTAATCAATGGAATGGCACTGGCATACACAAGTTGTACAAAATTCCTTGGTGTTCATGTAGACAACTGTTTGAAGTGGTCTGACCATATCACAGTTGTTTGTAAAAAAATAAATCTCAAGAATTAAGAATTTATGCCTTTACGCGCCATTTTAGATGTATATTACAGTCTGGTCTATAGCCATCTAAGTTATAATGTGATCCTATGGGGAAACAGTGTTGACAAAGATAGGGTTTTCATTGCTCAAAAAAAAGTTGTTCGGAAATTACTAGGCATCCCTTGGAGGGAATCATGCAAGACATTTTTCATTAGTCATCAAATTTTAACCTTTCCCTGCATCTATATCTTTATGTTCGCGAATGTATAACAGACTGTACTAAGAACTCATTCTATCATAGCTACCCAACTCGATATGCAGAGGAGTTGAGCATTCCTAAACATAGAACTATAAAATTCGAACATTCTCCCAAATATATGGGAATGAAATTATTCAATCGGTTACCAGACCATTTCAAACAGATGAACACTGTAGCATTTAAAAAAGCAGTTAAAACATTGCTTCTTTCTAAGGCCTACTATAGTATTGGCGAATCTCGACTGAATGGGTTCATGCGGCTTTGGCATGACATATTCAATTTTTATAACTACAATTGTTTTAATTTTTGTAATTCTGACTTTGTTGTATAAATTTTTATTGTATTATCTTTATCTACTGATCTACAATTTTATCGTTTGATGTGATTTTTATGTGCTTAATACTGACCTATCCTATACGTTTGTCAAAGTCTTTGAGGTTGAATAAATATTATTATTATTATTGTAACTCACTTCATTTTAAATTTTAGACTGGTAGATTAGACTTTAATGCAAGTAAAGTCACTGGCCATTCGGGTCCTATCCTAGATATTAAATGGAATCCTTTCAATGACAATGTTATTGCTTCTTGTGCCGACGATTGCACGGTAAGTGAATATTTTCATTATCTTATTTTAACATTGGTTTCATTAAAGTTTGATATCTTCAAAGTTAATTTACCAAGATTTTTCATACTGTTTGTGGGGACTTCAATACTTTACTGGACATTTTTTTTTCATTTCCCAACCCTTACACTTTTGACATACTTTTTGCGTCATGACAGTTTTAATTTTTTTCAATATACGTGTTCGGATAGTTAAAGGGTTGAGTTATCAGTATAAGTTGAGTATCAGTATGAATTATATGAAAAATCATCGACTGACAGGATCGGTAGAATTCAACAAAGTTAATTTTGTATTGAAAAATTTCAACACTTTCTTTTGATCAAAAAAATTAATAACGAATATTCTTGAAGTATTCATTCATTTTTAAAGTAACCTAATGTTGATTTAATCGTATGTATGCAATGAAGACCCGATAGAACCAGAGTGTTCCTTCTGTGGATGATTTCAGTTTCGGTCCATGTTTGGTCCAAACATTCTAAGATGTTCCCGATTTGCAAATTTCTCTTTACTGGGCGTTCCTCGTGTACTCATCAATTTCTTACATTCATCGATATACTAGGACTTGCCTCTTTCAGATGATATCCGGTAATACTTAACTGTTGGAATTGTTCTCATTTGGTGACTTGGTTGTTGTGATGCTGCTACGGATGTTGTGCCCGGATCTGAAGAAGGTCNAACACTAATCAGTAAAATCACCATTACACCTTACTAACAGTTTAGAACACCAAACAAAATACTAATTAATTTATCGATTTTCAGATAAAACTGTGGCATATTCCAGATGAAGGTTTGTCTATGCATCTCACAGAGTGTTTGGTAGAGCTTCAAGGCCATAAAAGACGAATTGCTTACATAGAATGGCATCCGACAGCGGAAAATATTTTGTTCAGTGCTGGATTCGACCACTTAGTGAGTATTTTGTGTTTTAATATTAATTAAATCAGTTGTTTGAGAAATCTCAAAAAAAATCTATTTATTTTGTTTTTTTTTAATCATTTTGTATAATATAACGTAAATCTACGTTCTCCACCTATCCCGGCTCAAGGAAGCATTGCAAACCTGATAGAATGCTCTCGTTTTCAGAATTTTAGTTTTATCATGTTTTAGTTTGCGGAAAAGATGAGATTCTCAAAGACTAATCGTATTAGTTACCTCCTAATGTAAAAATATTGTTTCAAAAGTTTCTTTCGTTTTTATGAGTACATTTTGAACTGTATTATCTCATTGAATTCTTATTCAATTCATTCGAAATAAGCGCCATTTGAATCAGTACACTTTTGCCAACATAACACAAGTCGAATAATTCCGTCAGCATAAAAATTGGGTGCTCTGGATTCGATAAAAACGACGAAGGCCGTTTTTGCCTAGAACTTATTGGCGAAGGTTCTACCGGTGAGAAAGTTATTGAAGTGCTTGAAAAGATGGTGATCGGTTGGTGAGAGGTCTGAGGGGTATGGTTAGTGCGACAGAACTTCGACACTCAATCAGTTTAATTTTCGAACGGTGATTTGTGAAACGTATGGGCGGGCTTTTTCTCTTGTGACCCGTGCCGGCTGCTGCTGACGCAATTTTCGGTACATTTCATCGATTTCCTCACAATAGAACTCTGCTGTGATGGTTAGCCCGGATGAAGAAAATTATAGTGAATCACAAACACCAGCCGCTGACTACCATACAGTAACCATGGTCTTTTATTGGTGAGTTTTCGCATTTGGAAAGTGCCTGGGTGGCCCTTCCGCTGTCCTGTCTGAGGATCCACTTTTCGACGATCCAATCCAAAAAAGGATTGTGGGGCACCCACTTTTCGAGCTTTTCGACCTTTCCAATTCGGTTTATACCCTCAAAAACCACATAGGAGCTTACGCCTAGTACTTCCGCCCTCCCTCTCACCGTTTATGATGGCTTCAGTCTCTACCAGGGTCCTCAAATGCTCGTCCTGGATTAGTGTAGGTTGACCACTTCGGGGCTCATTTTCAAGGCTAAATCTCAGTAACGAAATTTTGCAAACCATCGTCGAACATTGCGTTCATTAACACTATCATTGCCAAATGCCTAGTTGAATTTTTTGGACTGTTTCGGTAGCAATTTGAATTCTTAGAGAAAAATTGACCAAAAATCGTTCAACGACATCATGTAGTAATAAGCTGAAAAGAGGCAACAAATTGAAATTTGGAAAGAATGAACATCTGCAATGTATAGAGTAGAAAATTCTCTATCGACTTTTCACTGATTGCCACCGGTCAAAAACTCGAGTTTGAAATAATAATCTAACAATAACTCCACGTTCATGTCTCGTAAATTTCCAGCATAGAAGTCCAACATGTTCCTCAAAATATTCCTTTAAAAGTGCATTCACCGAAAAGCAGAACCAACATCATCAATGTATAAAGTACAAAATTCTCTATCAATCAGTACACACCATGACACACTAGAATACATATTTATTGAGATATGGAGCTACAAAAATGCATGACATTAAAACGTACACAACTTTTGAAACAACCTAATAACTATTGTCACTGCTTCTCATTAATAAAATTACATATTGAACTGTATCAGATTCAGGTTTAACTTTCCAATGTTTTCATGTTCACGGTCGATACATTTATTTATAATTGACTTGTGCTGTATGTTTTTTTGTAAATGAAAAAAGGTATTAAACTAACGGGTTTTCAATCAACTTCTTTTTTTAGTTTTGTTTGTTACGAAACAACCAATAGCTGATACTCTAATTAGGTAACACCAACAAGACAATTTTTTCAGAAGTCAAATATGGTATAGTTTTGTCACTGTAACCCAATTCCTCGTATAAGGAAAGAAAACTTTCACATATAGTCAGTGGGCATACTTGAAGACTGGCTATAAATCAAATTATCTAAAAACATTTTGTTCAGACTGGCCTGATATACACTTCCTTGCACTGACGAGTGGCCAAACAGCCCGAAACCGGTCTGCAAGTGTGTTTCAATAATTGAAAATATATTGCCGCAGTTGTATCGCCAACAGCATATGCAGGAATAACTTCTGTGAAGAATCCTGCACTGATACCTGTCGGATATAATTCAACACCCTTCGTGGTATTAGCCAGGGGAGTAGTTGTTTTCTGATAGGCGTCAGTCCATTAACCTACTGTGTAGGTTAATGGACTGGAATGGAATGTAGGTTAAGAACTTGACATTTTATTCAGATACAAACTGGTAACAAAAATCTATCTGAAATAATTACTTTTGATTAGCACACACCACTCATTTACATAAAAAACTTTTTTTTTTATCATATTTTATCTGAAGGACACATCTGAGCTCAATGTCAAAACATTTGGCTGGAACATATTGGCTGTTTCAACTCAATTCACAGAGAATAAAATCGTTATTTTTTACTTTTAATTTAGTTAGTACATGAAATAGAGGGATATTGTGTTCATGGTCAAAAATTCTTTTCATTTTGTAGTAATATCAATGTGATGAATGAATATTATTGTTTTTTATAAGGTTTTACATAGTTTAGTTTCTTTTTTCAATGATATGGGAGGTATGTGTGTTACAAACTTATCTGTTTTATAATACTTAATATCTTATATACATATACAGTAAATATGATGGAAATTGGCAAACTCCAGTTCAAAATGACAAATACCAATTCCTTAGAATTTCGGTTGTCAAAACTCTGTGAAGCAAATTTGTCATGCTACTTTCTGCCATATTTATACTCTCTGGTGTACAGGTTTCATGGAATGCTTCATCGTATAAGACAGCATTTTTTCTTTGAGCAGCCTTGTCTGAGACTCGAGGTGTTTACAAGAATTCATTGTTAGAAACAGTGATATTAGACCAATCAAATTAGAGCAATCAAATGCTTTGATCACTCCGTAACAACTATTACCTCACTTCACGAATGAAGAATAATGGGAATACTTTTGATATATCTAATTTTTTTACAAAAGTGGTTTTTTTCTCGAAAACAAGTGTATCTTAGGTTTAATAATTAACTATAATTCCTATCTTGATATAATCATCAACCATACAGATAGAACAATCTGAACTTCTAATAGTTTTACTTCTTTTAGGACAATTCTTTTGTCTGAAGATGAAAGATTATAGTATGTTCATAAATGATGGAATTGTGGTTAAGAAATGAGTGATTTGAAATTTGTTTCTCAAAAAGTTACCCCTTTCTACCTGAATTAATCTAGTTTACTTAGTTTACTGTTCTGCCTAGTTTTTTTGTTGAAACATGGTAGTTGTACAGTTTCAAAATGACTTTTTTACTAGTTTCAATATTTGCTATTGTATTCTGTATTGTAAATAAATATTCTTGTGCAATACATTTACCGTTTATTCTCAGTTGATCGTTTGGGATATTGAGAAAGGAGGAGCTGTAAATGTTATTGACTGTCATCATGCTGCCATCCATTCCATGTCTCTCAACAGGGATGGCAGTTTGCTTGCCACTACATGTAAGGATAAGAAATTGAGGATAATAGAGCCCAGAAGTGGTATAGTTAAATCGGTAAGAAAAATTATAAGCAGAAATTGACATTTTTAATTTTTTTTTTAAATACTCTTATATATAATATATGACTTTATCATATAAGTCCGATATTTTTTTATGGAGATTCACATGCACTGCAAGACATAGTCAGAGTACTGTTACGTTTTTCCCCGTGGGTTAACCAATAATTGACTACACTGAACAATAATCATACTCAACTTTATTTCACTTTCATTACAACAAAACACTTTAACTAAAACTTCAACTATTATTCAAATGTCTGTCACCTTATTAGATCACTCTGGGTACCGCAGTGTCACTTTCTCTTGACTGTCCTGATAAGAAAGTGGATCGTGTTTATATTTGGCAATCAGAGGCCGTAGAAAACTCCTCGGAATTCCATCGAAGCCGGTAGCATTATTCTCGCCACATCCAGAACTGCAGCGAACATCGAACATTCGCAAAGCGTCGGTCAGACGGACGGCGTTATTTTCTTTAAGGCATGATTTACAACAGTACAGTGCCTGTGCTAAAAAGGCAATTTATCTTGTATTTAAATTACTGTAGATATATTCAATTTTAAAACGATTATTTGGTAACTTATTCAACAAGGCTTTAGTCTTCTAAGTGAATAAGTTCTTAAAAAGTGTAGGTTGAGATGTATTGAGTTGAAACTTGAATCAAATAGGCTATGTTAGTCGATCACCTCCCTTGAAAGTATTTTCTCATTTGATAAAAAAGTTTCAGACAGAAAATTTTGTGGTATCAGGAAGTTAGCAACATGTAAAAATTAAGAACAAATATATTAATTTAATTATAATTTGACGGACATCATTAATATTTTTAGAAAATTTATGAACTGTTTCAATATTTTTTTTAGTCAATTCATTAAAATTTTCTAAATAATTTGAAATTGGATAATTTTTTCCTTTGTTAGTATGTATTACATCAAAATGGAAATTCGTTTGTTTGATGGTGGTTGACATTATTTCTTCATGAATTTCGTTAGTTTGGACTTCCATATGATATAAAATGATTTAAAATCATGGTTGGTTCTTTCAGGGATTTCAAATCATTTTATATCATATTAAATGGAAGTCCGAACTAATGAAATTCAAGATGGAAATTTGGAATCTTTTGTATCGTGTTCAAGTAATTTGTTTTTTTTTAATTGAATACTTGTACTCTACAGAAGATTTTTTGATAATATATATAGCAATTTCACTTTTTCAAAGAGTGTTTGAAGGATACAAAGTCATACTATCAGTAATTTTGTTTAGTGCAGAATGATCAAATTGTGATATCTAATTTGAGAAAGAGTATAAGCATTAAAAATTAGGATGTGTGAAATATGTTCTTTTGATTGGTCCCACTAATGGTATATATAATTGAGTCGATAATTTTATTTGTGAATTCCAAAACTTCAATATTTGTCATTTATTTAGCTTAAATATTTATGCTTTTCAACTTGATTGAATATTTTTTTTCAAGTAACGCTTCATTGTGAAATTTCCTGGTAATGCAACACGTGAGTATGAACTCGCCTGAGGAAACTATTTTATTTGTAAACTGTTCAGTGGAAATATCACAAGTGTTATGGATTTTCATCAAGAATCGGCCGATTCCATCACATTGGTTGATTAATTTGTACATTTCAGTATTGTTGATGTTCTTTAATTTTTAATAAGGATCCTTTTCTTTGCAATAAAATCGAAACCAAGGTTTTTTATTATGTTTGAGCCTCCAATCAGAGGAGTATGGATTTTCTTTGCATAGAATCTAGTAGCCCCAAGGTTGACTTCCGGGCTCCATATATGAGTTGTTGAGATATGTGTAATATTGTAGTCACAAAAGTACAACTTTTGTCAGAACATATTGGTATCGTATTACTATTTTTTTGTTATGTAACCTTCCACAATCTAAAAAATGAACAGCTAAATCATTAGAGAATCTGCTGAAGTTCAATAAAGGGCAAACTGAAACTTTCACCCCAAAAAGCACTGTATGATATAAACCACTAAAAAGTCCAATTAGTGAGTAACTTGTATTCATAAATTTTGCCTAAAGATCGAAAAAAATCAATTGAAAAAAAATTATATCAAGCTTTTGGAAAACAATATTCTTCCGTTTTCAAAACCTGTTATTCAGTTTGAATGCTACCGGCTGTAACTGATATATTTCGGTTAAGGTAGTTGGTTATAATCTATAAATTTTCTTCATCAAATAGTTGTACTGTACATTGATCAATCGACGATCCCAACAATTCAGCGCTTAAGTAAGAAAAAAAATTGAAATGATATTCCATCATTTTTGTCGCCATAAAACTTCTAAAACATATATTTTGTATTGAACGATTTAAGGTGTATCATGCATTATTCTTGTTTTTATCTAGGAGGGCATTTGTCATGCTGGTCCAAAAGCAAGCAAAGTTGTTTATTTGGGATCTACAGGACGTCTGCTGACTACAGGATTTTCACGTCATTCTGATAGACAATATTCTGTTTGGGATGAAAATAGCCTTGATAAACCTCTCTTCACTGATACCATCGACAGTTCTTCTGGCATTGTTTCTCCATATTTTGATCCAGATACCAACATGGTATACTTGGCGGGAAAAGGTGATGGAAATATAAGATATTATGAAATAACAGATGAGCCGCCATATATACATTTCTTAAACCAATTTTTATCTGGAAATCCTCAGGTAAGATATTTATTTTTCACTGTAGAATTTTATTTCAAAAAAATCACTAATGTAGTATCAGATATAGGTCCAGCATTATTGCAAAAAATTCAACCAGTAATTTTTTAAGATTTCCAGATTTTTTGTATCAAGATAGAGAAGTAGAAGGTCAAAACTTTTTTTGCCAAAAATTATTCTTTTCTAAAAATATACTCTTTCAATTTAAACTTCATTATTGCTTACTTTCATCAACAAATTATGAGAATTGATTTTAGACATAATTTAAAAAAACACCCCAGTACCTGATTGAATTGTCAAAAACTTATGTTTTCCTTTATTTTCAATTTGTCCTAAACTGGACATTAAGAATGGTTCACAAATTAATGTTTGAGTTCATGGAAAATGATAATAAGATATGGTTGCAACGATATTAAAGTCAACTATATAGGGTGCCTCATAAGTCATGACCTAAACTGAAGCCGGTGATAGAAGGGGTAATTTCTGATATAAAAGTTCGTATGTATAAAGTCTCCGATTCCTCACTCTTTTAGAGTAATTTTTATTTTTGCTATTGTATTGTAAGTAAAAAGTATTTTAGAAGTAAGAAGCAAAACTGTAGCAGGTCCTTCATTTGCAGTATGTTTCGCAAAATTTCACAGCTTTTAGAAATACTGAGAGATCAATTTTTTACATGCCTTTTCTTCAAACAATAGCATCAGTTTAAATGCTCGTAACTCAAGCGAACACAGTCAACAAAGATTTATGGTAAAAAAAACATTTTGTACCGATAATATGTGTTAGGAATCACACGTTGAAAGGTAAGACCTTGTTAGTCCTTAGCTCGCACAGTTTCTCAACTTCTGAGAGTTGTCGTTCGTCTGGAGGCGACAGCTGATTAACAGAAAAACAAATTTTAAACAAAATAATAATATATTTATTTGCATCAATAATATAACAAGAAGTATTTGCAAATAAACAAAATCATTTACATGGTTCTTCGGGAGTATGTATATTAAATCATTAGATTTTAATTGCTGGAAATCAAATTCATTTGGAAAAATTTTTCAGGAGGTATATTCCACATAAACGCAGTTCTCCAAATGAAGTTTTTAAAAAGTGAAGTTCGAGGTGTACTAAATTGAACCTCAAATCACAAACAAATAAAATGAGATTAATAGTTCAGAAGTTACCATATCCCGATTATGAAAGTAACATAAAATATATAAAATGACATGAAGTGAATAAACAAAATAATTAATATAAAATAGTTGATACAGATATGTAAGTGAAACTTAGTTGATCACAATATACAGTGTGTGAAAACCAAATGCAATAAATTCATTATTTTGGTTACTGTACATATTTAAAAAAAATCCCGAAAAACGTCAAATGTAAATTATAATTTGACATTCTTCAACGTTAAAATGCCACCCCTACCTTCAACCCCATTCGAATGACAGGTACAACCCCCAATTTTTCAAATGGAAAGTTTAGGTTTGTGATATATCGTTTGAAAGGTCTCTTCATTCTCTATTCAAAAATGTTATCGATTTCAAGTTTATTGCATCAATTAAGATGAAATAAATTAAAATCATCTGGTTACCGAAATTCGATAAAATACACTCAAAAATTAAAATGTAATGCAAAATGTAATGAAATGCAGAATACAAAAAAGAACTATGGATGTTAATGAAGTAGATGTTCAAAATGTTCACCGCGAACGTCTTGGCAATATCGTAATCTCAAATAAAACTGTCTTCTAACATTATTTAACCTTCAAATGTGAAGTTTAGGTTTTGTACACATTGCTCTTTACATATCCCCATAAATCTATGGTGAAAGATCAGGTGATCTCGCTGGCTATTCAATTGATCCTCGCCTCCCTATCCACCGATTGGGAAATGTTGTACTGAGATATTGCCGGACATTAACTTGCTAATGTGGTAGTGCTCCACCTTGCTGAAAACATATCGTGTTCACTGGAACTTGAGGATTTCCTGGATCAGGATATAAATTTGCTAAACTTGGAATGACATCATTTTGAAGTAGTGCCAAATAATTATCGCCATTCAAGTTGCCGTCAATGAAAAGGGACCAATGATATGGTTTTCTACAATCCCTGCTCAAACGTTAACTTTTTGAGGGTATTGTGTGTGTTCTTCTCTCATCCAGTGAGGATTTTCAGTTGACTAGTAGCGGCAATTTTGCCGATTAGCATGACTGTTAAGAGACAAAGTANATAGAAGATATAAAGCTTCAAATCCTTTTTGTAGAATTCAATATTGAAATACTCAAAATAAAGGAAAATTAGTTGCATAAATCAAAATATATAACTCTAAAACACATCAACAACAAACATGTGCAATCATACAATGCATGTACATAAAATATTGAAATTGTCACAATAAAAAATTGCTTTGTATGAATATTAACAACAAACAGATGTAAATATAAAATGAAATTCAATATAAATATAAATAATGTATAACTATCACTGAAACACATTGAATAATAATGTATAACTAGGAATTGAAGACGAAATCGAATTTCACACATTAAAAGTTCATACAGTAGAATCCATCTAACGAGTAGAAAGCATTCGTCAGAAGTTTTTTTTACGTACGTTTGAATTGTTTTTTGCTATCTAAAATTTTAATCTCATTTGGTAGGTGATTGAATAATTTTTTACCATTAAAAAATATGGAAGTTTTTATTTGTGTTGATGTTGGAATTGGTAAGGTTATATTTAGTGCTTGTCTAGTGTTACATTGAGACATCTTATGAGTTTCGTTTATAAATTTGCTATGCATGAGACATACAGATGCTAAGATGAAAATAGAAGGTAGTGTTGAAATTTTATGTTTTATAAAGAGTGGCTTGCAAGAATCCCGGAATTTAGATTTGCACATATACCTTACTGCTCGTTTTTGCAAGACAAAAATCATATTGAAAACATATGGACTACATGATCCCCAAAACAGATTCCATATCTCAGATGTGAATCGATTAAAGCATAATACACACGTTTTGCCATATCTACACCAAGTTCCCATGAAACGGTTCTTACTGCGAAACATCCTGATGCCAATTTTCTTTTGAGTTTTTCAATGTCACTTTCGAATTTCAATTTATCATCTATATATAAACCCAGAAATTTTGTTTCCGACATATAACTGATCACCTAATTTATACACCTGATTTCCTATATGAAGTTCTTGAAGATTATATTTGAAAGTGAGGATGTTAATTTTTAGTATATTGAAAGGCAACCTATTAGCATCACACCAATCTTTAACTTTACTAATATCATTCTCAATCATTTGATGCAATTGTGTGCCATTTTTATCATGCCAAAGTATTTTGGTGTCATCTGCAAATTGAGTGAACTCTCCGCAAATATTAATTGAGGATAGATCATTTAAGAAAAGGGTCGGTCCCAGACCTGATCCTAGAGGTACCCCCCATTTAATTTCTAATTTGTGTGATAAGTCGCCTTGAAGATATACGCTTTGAGTACGTCCGGATAAATAAGACTCAAACCACTGGATTACTACATCTCTAAACCCATATTTCTTTAATTTTTGCAACAGAATTGTGTGGTTAACACAGTCGAAAGCCTTTGTCAGATCTCAGAAAACTGCTTCTTCCAACTTCCCATTCGGATTCAGATAAACGTTTTGAAGAAGGATGAAAATTGCATCATTTTTTCCTTTCTCTCTTTGAAATCCGAAATGTGTAGAAATAATAGTGTTATGCTTATTCAGAAAGGCCATTATTCTTTTTTTCACGAGTTTCTCTATTATTTTTGAAAGTGTAGGTAACATTGAAGTGGGTCTGAAATTTGCGGGATTATCAGTATCACCCCCCTTATGTATTGGAATTACTATTGCGTTTTTTAAACGTTGCAAATGAAACATTTACTGATTCAACTAGTACCATAATAGCTGAGTCGGAGAGATGTGAAAATATTTTTATAGATAAGTCATCCCACCCAGATGCATTTTTATTTTTAATTTCATTAAAAATTTGTTTCATCTCTACGGTATCTCTAGGCGCGAAAAATAATGATTCAGAAACAGAGATGGGATTCAAATAAATCAGTGGATCATTTGAGGAAATAATCTGTTTAGAAACAGTTTCTGCAACTGAGCAATAATATTCATTGATATCGTTGCATTCTAAATTTGTTTTCACAGGAGCAGAGTTGTTTCTACCTCTGAAGTCATTGACAATTTTCCAGCTTTCTTTTTGCCTGTGACTTGCATTTTCTACTTTGTTCCTATAGTATACCCTTTTAGCCGTTTTCAAGGTTTTTCTGTAAATGGACCTATACTTGTTATAAACAGAAATGAAGGTTTCATTTTCACTGTCAAATTTTCTAATCATATGTAGGGATCGTAGATTTTTTGCCGAAATTTTGATACCTTTTGTCAACCTGGGTTTTTTAGCTTTTTTCTTGATTAGCTTAAGAGGAAAGCTTCTGTTAAATACATCAGAAAGAATTGAATGAAATTTGGATAAAGGATCCTTACATATCATTGCTTGATCCCAGTCGAGCATATTACAATTCTTCTTTAATTCATCAAAGTTTTTCTTGCTAAATATCCTACCCATACATTTTTTCCTACTACTTTTTTCAAATATCTGAGGTAAATAAAACATTACTGCTTCATGATCCGATAGGCCTGCATTGATGACATCGCATTTGATACCCTTCATGTTAGAACAAACATAGTCAATTATAGAACTAGAATATTTTGAGTGACGTGTTGGCAATTCAACATGCATCTCTAAATTAAAGCTGATTAATAGATTTTCTAACGATTTTGTTGACATTGAGGCTTTGTCTTTAAAATTTATATTGAAATCTCCAGTCAGAATAGGGAATATGCAGACAATGTTTTAATATTTTTTCATTCAATATTCACTTCATTTTGATATAGAAAAAAAAATAAACATAGCTGTAAGAGTAGTAATTATTTTTTCATAAAATCAAGTGCATGTATGCATAAAAACAGATT